ACGATTTCAACTGTTGGTTTATAGATTCAGGAGCCACTTCTCATATGACCAATTCGAAAAAATATTTTTCAAGATTTTCTAATATTGACTCTGAAATTTCATTAGCAAACAAGGAGAAAATAAGATCTCTTGGTGTTGGTGATGTTATAGTTAATGTTGAATATGGGCCGAAAACAGTAAAGAATGTACAATATGTTCCGAATTTAGCTGCCAACCTTCTGTCTGTGTCAAAATTAGTTGAAAAAGATTTGGTAGTTACTTTTACTGAATCTGGATGTAAAATATATCATAAACATGATTGTACTATTCAAGATAAAGTTAGAATTACTGGATACTTAATAAATAACATGTTTAAATTGGATCTAAAGAATCCACTTATTAATACCTCATTACTGTCTCAAACTGATGCTATAAGGGCTAACATCTGGCATAGACGACTTGGTCATTTAGGCAACAGAGGTATAAAGCAAATCAAATGGTCAATTTCTGGCCTTGAACTTTTTTAACATATTGACGACTGTACAGCCTGTGATCAGAGGAAGCAAACTCGTAACTACCCCATTTGTCAGAAATCGAAGACCGAACCGACGACGAGCCAAAAATTTCTTACAGATTGTCCATACAGATGTCTGCGGTCCCATGGAAGAAAAGTCACTTGGTGGTTCCAAGTACATATTAACTTTCACTGACGATTTTTCACGAAAAATCTTTGTTTATTTTCTGCGATACAAAGATGAAACATTTGACAAATTTATAAAATTTAAATCATTTGTCGAAAATCAGTCAGGAAAGAAAATAAAAACTCTAAGATCAGATGGTGGTGGGGAATATGCAAATAATAAAATGAAAGAATGTCTTGTTGCCAATGGTATTAAACATAAAGTTACAACTCCTTACACCCCTGAACATAATGGTCTGGACGAACGAGTGAATAGATCCATATGCGAAATTGCAAGATGCATGATGATGAATATGAATTGCGACAAATGTCTTTGGGCAGAAGCATGCAATACGGCTGTGTATCTTAAAAACAGAACAGCACATTCCACTTTAAGAGGTAAGATCCCTGAAAAAGTATGGACTGGAAGGCATGTTAATCTTGACCATTTACGTGTATTTTGATGTAAAGCCATGGTCCATATTCCTAAGCATAAAAGAAAGAAATGGGATGCAAAAAGCGATGAACACACTTTTGTTGGCTATTGTGATGATTCTACTGATAATAACTGTTATCGTTTATTAGATAGAAATCTGACAGTTATTCGTACAAGAGATGTTATATTCTTTGAAACATAACAGGAGCAAGAGGAAAATGGAATTCCCATTTTTCTGCTCATTGGAGAAATTGTAAATAGTTCCCATGAAGAGTTACCTCTTTCTTCTGAAACAATCTCTATCGAAGCTGATGAAGAAATCAATAAGCCAACAACAGAAAATCTTGGCGAAAATGCCGAAAGAAGATATCCTGAACGACTGAGAAACCCAACACAGTTTTTTACATACCAGATTTCTGAAGAAAATCCACTACTGGATCCTATTAATGTTTTTGATGCTCTCAACGGACATGATGCTGATAAATGGCATGGTGCCAAGAGGAAGAGGAATATCGTTGTCTTATGCATAATAAAACGTGGAAATTGGTAGGAAAGCCTGAATGTGCATGTGTTATTCCATGCAAATGGGTTTTCAGAATCAAACAGGATGCCTCTGGTAATGTGACCAAATACAAGGCTAGACTTGTTGCCAAAGAATTTAAGCAAACGTATGGTATTAATTATGAGGATACATATGCACCTGTGGTAAGAAATTAAAGTCTTAGGTTGCTATTTGGGATTGCTGCAGAATACCACTTAGATGTAGACCAAATGGATGTAAAGACAGCATTCTTAAATGGTGAACTAAATGAAACTCTATACATGTATCAACCTGATTCAGATAAGCTTTTCTTCAACCCATCATTTTGGGTTTGAAGCCGCAGCATGATATTGACATTTTGTAGACGTAGTTTGATTATTCCTTTATATTTCAATACAAGCCGCGAGATCATGGAATATTAAAATCCATAAAAAATTAATTGGAGTTTTGTATATATTTTAAAATTGACAAAAATATTTTAATATTTATTGCACTATATGTAGATGATTTATTAATTTTTACAAATAGTTTGTCTGAAAAACAAAAACTAAAAGCTGATCTTAATAGTAGCCTTAAAATGCAAGAATTAGGAGCAAAATATTGTTTAGATATTGAAATTACTAAACAAGGAAACCAAAATAAAAAGTTACCTGATGTGCCTTATCAGATCTTGATAGGTTCACTAATGTACCTTGCTACCTGTACTCGACCCGATATTTCATTCGCAGTAAGTTTGCTTAGCCAATATAACTCAAATTTTACAACCGAATTATGGCAACATGCGAAAAGAGTTTTAAGGTACCTTAAGGGAACGATGAATAAATCTGTTATTCAAACCTTCTGGAAATATTTTGACTGGTTATATCGATGCAGATTGAGCTGGAAGCAATAAAGATAGGCGTTCATTTAGTGGTTATGTTTTTACATATTCTAATGGAGCAATCTCCTGGAGCAGCCGTAAACAGCGATGTGTGTCATTGTCCAGCACAAAAGCTAAATACGTTGCTCTCTGTGAAATAACAAAAGAATGCGTTTTTCTCAAAAATTTATTGCAAGAACTTTGTCCCAAAACAAGAAGTGCAATAACCATTTATAATGATAACCAAAGTACTATCTGTATTTCAGAAAATAAAACTAGTTATTACCGGAAAAAACACATAGACGTACGTTATCATTTTATACGCTCTTGTGTTCCTGACAAACTTATTAATTTAAAATATATATGCCTAAAAATGTTATGCCTTATGATATATTGACGTAAATATTACCTCTCATAAAACATGAAAATTGTATTAGGTATATTGGATTAGTTTAAGTATTTTATTTCTTTATGAATTAAGGGGATGTGTTGTGGGTCCTACCTGTATATAATTTATAAGGAAATAACCATAGAAATAAAAATGTTGAATGTCTTGTTATGATTAATAAAATTTGTCACTGTACGAAATAAAGTAAAATATTAAAAGTATTCTACATAATTTTCTTCAACGGTGGTTTCTTCTAAATAACTTACCGATATGTTTCATATCGCGAATATTAAAGGGAAGCGAAATCAGATACACAGTGGGAGAAAAAGAAATGTTGGCTATAGTATATGCTACCCAAAAATTGGCATATTGGTTACGGGGAAATAAATTTATAATTGAGACAGATCATAAATCTCTGACATTTTTACAAACAAATCGATATGCAAACAACATAATTTATCGTTGGTCTTTATTACTTCAAGAATTTACATTCGATATAAGATACAGAGAGGGAACAAGAAATTTCACAGCACTGTGCAGGAAGAATGATATAAATTCAAAATCACCTCAAGAGTTTATAGTAGCTATGAATATATTAAAAGATCAGGAGGGAATACATACATAGTTTACATTTTTTAATATAAAATAACGCTCCATCATGCCGTTCTGTTGTCGGGGTCTTCTCAATTAAAACTTAGTTCTATCACATTTTTGAATGTTGTGAGGCCCCCTTCAATAATTTTTTATAAAATACATGCATAGTGGGTCGTTGTTTATCAATTACACAAACATCATTTATAATCTGCTTACTTTCTTCTCCCTGCACTTGTGAAATATTACTTTCTGTTTTTGTTTGTCCCCACGATTTTGTTTTTTTTTTGAAAAGAAAAGGAAGTTATCCAACTTGAGTTAACCGATACTTTTTCTTTTTATTTTTTTGATAAATAAATTTTGAAATTACCATTGCTACTAGAACACAAATTCTACCATGCAGTGTTATTTAAACCTCATTTTGGCCTTGTTTTTTATTAATTATCTTAACTATGATTTCTTTTTTCCGGGTTGAAAATGTCTTACCTTTAGGCATTTTGGCTAATTAAACAGTTATAAAACTGCCGTAAAAAAACACAAGAATTACAATTTTAACCTAATATCACGATATGACACTGGCATGACATGAGCGCGAAATTCTTGAAGGCCTCTGATGGGGTTCTACATGTACCTGCCTTCCAAAGTACTGTTTAACTTCTGTTCATGTTGTAACGCTGATACTTTTGGGTATGATTACGCCGGCGACATTTGTGAATGTGATAATGACGGTGATATTTTTAAGTGTCATTGTAATAACGTAAATTACAAAAGTTGCAGGACTATTTAAAATTAGTACTAAACTCAAGAAAAGTAGGGGAATACATAAGCCCAAGAAGCCGTGGTGTTCTGGGTTAAATCTAACATTACTTACTTTTAATCGACAAAGCTCCAAGTAAGAAGAAACGAATTCATTTTAATTCTCAGGGACAGCTTATTTTGTTTCAACATGATACCAGTGATACATCTCAATATGTAGATACCAAAGTAAAGGTGACCAACTTGTCATTATAGAATAATATAGTGATTATAAAAAAATACACATTAGAACTTTTGAGAAAATATCGTATATCTCTAACATTGATTTTTTAATAAAAGAATATGTTAAAACAAAAAAAGCTTATTCAGGGAAACATTGATATTAACTAATTAGACCCAAATTTACTCTGTTGATCTACCTGGGCACACATTTGCCTGTTCTAAGAGGTGACTAAAGGTATGAGGGCATCCAGTGATCTTACGACAATGTTATCAACCAGCAATTTTTTTGACGAGCTGAGGGGCACACGAGCAGTGGAGCCTGGAGGATGCATACTAGGCTTAGTGAGGCCTAAGGGATGTGGGGGCAACCAATAGACCCAGCTGTTAAAAGGCAAGGAGAAAACCATAGCTCAGAAATAGGTATCGATGACACATTTTCTCTAAGAGATATAGAAATATAGAAAATGTTTCAGTAGAATCTATTTACCCTTGTCATATTAAACATCCAATATATATTACAAAAATAGATTATATATTATTATTACTTACTCTTTGGCTTCAGCTGCAGCTTCTTTTTCTTTTTCTTCCTGTACGTTTACTACGGTGTTTGGCGGGGGAGGTAGATCATCCAACGGGACTGTGTCTTCTGGAGGGGTGGGCGGCGTTTTGTCAAATTCTGCGATGGGGGCTAATTCAGGCATTGGTGAAACTGAATTACTCTCCATTACCACTAAAAAGAACTAGTTCAAGTCAATAATAGGTAAGCGAGTGGGTAACCGAAGACATATAAAAATAATATCAAAATATTCTTAGAATAAGAGGAAACAGTAACGTTGGCATTAACACTTTAGTGTATCCGATCCCGGGATCCCGGATCCCGAGATCCCAGGATTGAGTTAAAATATCAGGTCCTGAAATCCCGAAATTATTTCTTTTTATTTATTTAGTCATGTTCAAGTCTTGACCTGACTCGACTGCTAACGTACACGTGCGCTGTACATTGAAGAGTAGAAACACGTACTGACTGACATGTATTAGGCTACACAAACCAGCGTTCAGTTATTGCGTTTATGTGTCTTGTTGAGGGTGGTTTGTTTTGTGTTTTATTTAATTAACCTGTTTACACTATTTTATAGTAATTTTATTAATAAGGACAATATAAAACACGGCTAGACGCCTAAATTCTCCCAAGAGCACACTTTTGAAATAAATAATAAATTAAATCAATTCAATTTATTATTTATTTTTAAATGTTTAATGTTTAATGTTTAATGTTTAATGTTTAATGTTTAATGTTTAATGTTTAATGTTAATGTTTAATGTTTAATGTTTAATGTTTAATGTTTAATGTTTAATGTTTAATGTTTAATGTTTAATGTTTAATGTTTAATGTTTAATGTTTAATGTTTAATGTTTAATGTTTAATGTTTTAATGTTTAATGTTTAATGTTTAATGTTTAATGTTTAATGTTTAATGTTTAATGTTTAATGTTTAATGTTTAATGTTTAATGTTTAATGTTTAATGTTTAATGTTTAATGTTTAATGTTTAATGTTTAATGTTTAATGTTTAATGTTTAATGTTTAATGTTTAATGTTTAATGTTTAATGTTTAATGTTTAATGTTTAATGTTTAATGTTTAAGTTAATGTTTAATGTTTAATGTTTAATGTTTAATGTTTATAATGTTTAATGTTTAATGTTAATGTTTAATGGTTTAATGTTTAATGTTAATGTTTATGGTTTAATGTTTAATGTTTATGTTTAAATTTTAAATGTTTAATGTTTAATGTTTAATGTTTAATGTTTAATGTTTAATGTTTAATGTTTAATGTTTAATGTTTAATGTTTAATGTTTAATGTTTAATGTTTAATGTTTAATGTTTAATGTTTAATGTTTAATGTTTAATGTTAATGTTAATGTTTAATGTTTAATGTTTAATGTTTAATGTTTAATGTTTAATGTTTATTTAATGTTTAATGTTTAATGTTAATGTTTAATGTTTAATGTTTAATGTTTAATGTTTAATGTTTAATGTTTAATGTTTAATGTTTAATGTTTAATGTTTAATGTTTAATGTTTAATGTTTAATGTTTAATGTTTAATGTTTAATGTTTAATGTTAATGTTTAATGTTTAATGTTTAATGTTTAATGTTTAATGTTTAATGTTTAATGTTTAATGTTTAATGTTTAATGTTTAATGTTTAATGTTTAATGTTTAATGTTTAATGTTTAATGTTTAATGTTTAATGTTTAATGTTTAATGTTTAATGTTTAATGTTTAATGTTTAATGTTTAATGTTTAATGTTTAATGTTTAATGTTTAATGTTTAATGTTTAATGTTTAATGTTTAATGTTTAATGTTTAATGTTTAATGTTATGTAATGTTTAATGTTTAATGTTAATGTTTAATGTTTAATGTTAATGTTTAATGTTTAATGTTTTAATGTTTAATGTTTAATGTTTAATGTTTAATGTTTAATGTTTAATGTTTAATGTTTAATGTTTAATGTTTAATGTTTAATGTTTAATGTTTAATGTTTAATGTTTAAATGTTTAATGTTTAATGTTTAATGTTTAATGTTTAATGTTTAATGTTTAATGTTTAATGTTTAATGTTTAATGTTTAATGTTTAATGTTTAATGTTTAATGTTTAATGTTTAATGTTTAATGTTTAATGTTTAATGTTTAATGTTTAATGTTTAATGTTTAATGTTTAATGTTTAATGTTTAATGTTTAATGTTTAATGTTTAATGTTTAATGTTTAATGTTTAATGTTTAATGTTTAATGTTTAATGTTTAATGTTTATGTTTAATGTTTAATGTTTAATGTTTAATGTTTAATGTTTAATGTTTAATGTTTAATGTTTAATGTTTAATGTTTAATGTTTAATGTTTAATGTTTAATGTTTAATGTTTAATGTTTAATGTTTAATGTTTAATGTTTAATGTTTAATGTTTAATGTTTAATGTTTAATGTTTAATGTTTATGTTTAATGTTTAATGTTTAATGTTTTAATGTTTAATGTTTAATGTTTAATGTTTAATGTTTAATGTTTAATGTTTAATGTTTAATGTTTAATGTTTAATGTTTAATGTTTAATGTTTAATGTTTAATGTTTTAATGTTTAATGTTTAATGTTTAATGTTTAATGTTAATGTTTAATGTTTAATGTTTAATGTTTAATGTTTAATGTTTAATGTTTAATGTTTAATGTTTAATGTTTAATGTTTAATGTTTAATGTTTAATGTTTAATGTTTAATGTTTAATGTTTAATGTTTAATGTTTAATGTTTAATGTTTAATGTTTAATGTTTAATGTTTAATGTTTAATGTTTAATGTTTAATGTTTATGTTTAATGTTTAATGTTTAATGTTTAATGTTTAATGTTTAATGTTTAATGTTTAATGTTTAATGTTTAATGTTTAATGTTTAATGTTTAATGTTTAATGTTTAATGTTTAATGTTTAATGTTTTAATGTTTAATGTTTAATGTTTTAATGTTTAATGTTTAATGTTTAATGTTTAATGTTTAATGTTTAATGTTTAATGCTTTAATGTTTTAATGTTTAATGTTTAATGTTTAATGTTTAATGTTTAATGTTATGTTAATGTTTAATGTTTAATGTTTAATGTTTAATGTTTAATGTTTAATGTTTAATGTTTAATGTTTAATGTTTAATGTTTAATGTTTAATGTTTAATGTTTAATGTTTAATGTTTAATGTTTAATGTTTAATGTTTAATGTTTAATGTTTAATGTTTAATGTTTAATGTTTTAATGTTTAATGTTTAATGTTTAATGTTTAATGTTTAATGTTTAATGTTTAATGTTTAATGTTTAATGTTTAATGTTTAATGTTTATTATTGTTAATGTTTAATGTTTAATGTTTAATGTTTAATGTTTAATGTTTAATGTTTAATGTTTAATGTTTAATGTTTAATGTTTAATGTTTAATGTTTAATGTTTTAATGTTTAATGTTTAATGTTTAATGTTTAATGTTTAATGTTTAATGTTTAATGTTTAATGTTTAATGTTTAATGTTTAATGTTTAATGTTTAATGTTTAATGTTTAATGTTTAATGTTTAATGTTTAATGTTTAATGTTTAATGTTTAATGTTTAATGTTTAATGTTTAATGTTTTAATGTTTAATGTTTAATGTTTAATGTTTAATGTTTAATGTTTAATGTTTAATGTTTAATGTTTAATGTTTAATGTTTAATGTTTAATGTTTAATGTTTAATGTTTAATGTTTAATGTTTATAATGTTTAATGTTTAATGTTTAATGTTTAATGTTTAATGTTAATGTTTAATGTTTAATGTTTAATGTTTAATGTTTAATGTTTAATGTTTAATGTTTAATGTTTAATGTTTAATGTTTAATGTTTAATGTTTAATGTTTAATGTTTAATGTTTAATGTTTAATGTTTAATGTTTAATGTTTAATGTTTAATGTTTAATGTTTAATGTTTAATGTTTAATGTTTAATGTTTAATGTTTAATGTTTAATGTTAATGTTTTAATGTTTAATGTTTAATGTTTAATGTTTAATGTTTAATGTTTAATGTTTAATGTTTAATGTTAATGTTTAATGTTTAATGTTTAATGTTTAATGTTTAATGTTTAATGTTTAATGTTTAATGTTTAATGTTTAATGTTTAATGTTTAATGTTTAATGTTTAATGTTTAATGTTTAATGTTTAATGTTTAATGTTTTAATGTTTAATGTTTAATGTTTAATGTTTAATGTTTAATGTTTAATGTTTAATGTTTAATGTTTAATGTTTAATGTTTAATGTTTAATGTTTAATGTTTAATGTTTAATGTTTAATGTTTAATGTTTAATGTTTAATGTTTAATGTTTAATGTTTAATGTTTAATGTTTAATGTTTAATGTTTAATGTTTAATGTTTAATGTTTAATGTTTAATGTTTAATGTTTAATGTTTAATGTTTAATGTTTAATGTTTAATGTTTAATGTTTAATGTTTAATGTTTAATGTTTAATGTTTAATGTTTAATGTTTAATGTTTAATGTTTAATGTTTAATGTTTAATGTTTAATGTTTAATGTTTTAATGTTTAATGTTTAATGTTTAATGTTTAATGTTTAATGTTTAATGTTTAATGTTTAATGTTTTAATGTTTAATGTTTAATGTTTAATGTTTAATGTTTAATGTTTAATGTTTAATGTTTAATGTTTAATGTTTAATGTTTAATGTTTAATGTTTAATGTTTAATGTTTAATGTTAATGTTTAATGTTTAATGTTTAATGTTTAATGTTTAATGTTTAATGTTTAATGTTTAATGTTTAATGTTTAATGTTTAATGTTTAATGTTTAATGTTTAATGTTTAATGTTTAATGTTTAATGTTTAATGTTTAATGTTTAATGTTTAATGTTTAATGTTTAATGTTTTAATGTTTAATGTTTAATGTTTAATGCTTTTAATGTTTAATGTTTAATGTTTAATGTTTAATGTTTAATGTTTAATGTTTAATGTTTAATGTTTAATGTTTAATGTTTAATGTTTAATGTTTAATGTTTAATGTTTAATGTTTAATGTTTAATGTTTAATGTTTAATGTTTAATGTTTAATGTTTAATGTTTAATGTTTAATGTTTAATGTTTAATGTTTAATGTTTAATGTTTAATGTTTAATGTTTAATGTTTAATGTTTAATGTTTAATGTTTAATGTTTAATGTTTAATGTTTAATGTTTAATGTTT